TTTTCATTCTCTATTCTTTAGAAACAACTCATTAAGTCTAGCCCAACCTGGGAGTAGGTGCACAGGAGTGGGAATTAAGCTTTACATTCCATAGGGTTTAATATCTAATATCTGGAATTCTTATGTAAGACAGATTTGTTTCTTCTCATGTATCAGTGTAGACTCACATATATTTGTTTTATACTTCAAGTTATAATCAAATATTACATTATTTCTTCAAGTTATAATCAAATATTACATTATTTCTTTTGTACCCGTACTCTTCCAACTACAGAAGGTGGCTCTTTTAGGTTGGTTCCTATGTTTCTTTAATACCCTGCTCCTTTTATTTATTTTATTTTTTTTTTTTGAGGACTTCTTTCCTGGTACCACTTTCAGGTTCATTTTGTTTTCTCCCTCCCATGGTGGTCCAGGAATCAGCTGTTTCTCCCAGGAGCATGGTTCCTTTAGTGGAGAATAGGATTTAAAAACCAATGGTGTTTTTTCTTCTAGAAAAAAACTGGGATATACGTGCAGAACATGCAGGTTTGTTACAAAGGTATATGTGTACCATAGTGGTTTGCTGCACCTACTGACCCATCCTCTAAGTTCCCTTCCCTTACCCTCCAAATGCCAACAGGCCCTGGTGTATGTTGTTCACCTCTCTGTGTCCATGTGTTCTCATTGTTCATCTTCCATTTATGCGTATTCGGTTTTCTGTTCCTGTGTTAGTTTGTTGAGTATTCGGTTTTCTGTTCCTGTGTTAGTTTGTTAAGAATGATGGCTTCCAGCTTCATCCATGTCCCTGCAAAGGATATGATCTCATTTCTTTTTATGGCTGCATAATATTCCGTGGTGTATGTATACCACATTTTCTTTATCCAATCTATCATTGATAGGCATTGTGTTGGTTCCAAGTTTTTGCTATTGTAAATAGTACTGCAGTAAACATAAATGCACATGTGTCTTTATAGTAGAATGATTTCTATTTCTTTGGGTATATATACCCAGTAATAGGATTGCAGAGTCAAATGTATTTCTGGTTCTAGATCCTTGAGGAATTGCAATACTGTCTTTCACAGTGGTTGAACTAATTTACATTCCCACTAACAGTGTAAAAGTGTTCCAATTTTTTCACAGCCTCCCCAGCATCTATTGTTTCCTGACTTTTTAATAATTGCCATTCTGACTGGTATCTCATTGTGGTTTTGATTTGCATTTCTCTGACGATCTGTGATGATAATGTTGAGCTTTTCTTCATATGTTTGTTGGCCACATTAATGTTTTCTTTTGAGAAGTGTCTGTTCATATCCCTTGCCCACTTTTTGATGTGTTGTTTGGTTTTTACCTATAAATTTAAGTTCCTTGTAAATTCTGGATATTAAACCTTTGTCAGATGGGTAGGTTTCTGCCATTCTGTAGGTTGTCTGTTCATTCTGATGATAGTTTGTTTCGCTGTGCAGAAGCTTTTTGGTTTAATTAGATCCCATTTGTCAATTTAGGCTTTTGTTGCAATGACTTTTAGCATTTTTTCGTGAAGTCTTTGCCCATGCCTATGTCTTCTAGGGTTTTTATGGTTTTGGGTTTTACAGTTAAGTCTTTAGTCCACCTTGAGTTGATTTTTGTATAAGGCATAAGGAAGCGGTCTAGTTTTAGTTTTCCACATATGCCTAGCCAGTTTTCCCAGCACCGTTTACTGAATAGGAGCTCCTTTCCCCATTGCTTGTTTGTGGCAGGTTTGTCGAAGATCAGATGGTTGTAGATATGTGGTGTTTTTTCTGCGGTCTCCATTCTGCTCCTTATATCTGTATGTCTGTATGTCTATAAGTCTGTTTTGGTACCAGTACCATGCTGTTTTGGTTACCATAGGCTTGTAATATAGTTTGAAGTCAGGTAGCGTGATGCCTCTAGTTTTGTTCATTTTGCTTAGGATTGTCTTGGCTACATGGGGTCTTCTTTGATTACATATAAAATTTAAAATAGTTTTTTTCTAATTCTGTAATGTCAATGTTAGTTTATGGGAATAATGTTGAATCTATAATTTACTTTGGGCAGTATGGCCATTTTCATGATATTGGTTCTTCCTGTCCATGAAGATAGAATGTTTTTCCATTCGTTTGCATCCTCTCTTATTTTAGTGGTTTGTAGTTCATCTTGAAGAGGTCCTTTACACTCCTTATTAGCTGTATTCCTAGGTATTTTATTCTCTTTGTAGTGATTGTGAATGGGAGTTCACTAATGATTTGGCTCTGTTTGTATAATGTTGGTGTAAAGGAATGCTTGTGATTTTTGCACACTGATTTTGTACCCTGAGCCTCTGCTGAAATTGCTTTTCATTTAAGGAGTTTTTGGCATTAGGATGATGGGTTTTTTTTTTTCTTTTTTTTTTTTTTTTGAGACGGAGTTCCACTCTTGTTACCCAGGCTGGAGTGCAATGGCACGATTTTGGCTCACCGCGACCTCCGCCTCCTGGGTTCAGGCAATTCTCCTGCCTCAGACACCTGAGTAGCTGGGATTACAGGCACGTGCCACCATGCTCAGCTAACTTTTTGTATTTTTAGTAAAGACGGGATTTCACCATGTTGACCAGGATGGTCTCAATCTCTTGACCTCGTGATCCACCCGCCTCGGCCTCCCAAAATGCTGGGATTACAGGCTTGAGCCACCGCGCCCGGCACAATGATGGGGTTTTCTAAATATAAAATTGCATCATCTGCAAACAGAGACAACTGTACTTACTCTTTTCCCATTTGAATGCCCTTTATTTCTTTCTCTTGCCTGATTGCCCTGGCTGGCACATCCAGTACCATATTGAACAGGAATGGTGAGAGAGGGCATCCTTATCTTGTACTGGTTTTCAAAAGGAATGTGTCCAGCTTTTGCCCATTCAATATGATATTGGCTGTGAGTTTGTTATAAATAGCTTTTATTATTTTGAGATATGTTCCATCAATACCTAGTTTATTGAGAGTTTTTAACATGAACAGATGTTGAATTTTATCAAAGGCCTTTTCTGTATTCATTAAGATAATCATGTGGTTGTTGTCTTTGGTTCTGTTTATGTGGTGGATTATGTTTATTGATTTGTGTAGGTTGAACTAGCTTTGCATCCCAGGGATGTAGCCGACTTGATTGTGGTGAATATGTTTTTGATGTGCTACTAGATTCAGTTTGCCAGTATTTCATTGAGGATTTTTGCATTGATGTTCATCAGGGATATTGGTCTGACATTATAATTGAGCGATGAAACAATGAGCTCTTGGGGAAGTTTAGGGCAATGTAGATAATGTCAAATAAAAAATTAACAATATCATAATTGACAACAAAGGAATAGATTGTTGAATATTAAACAAGAGACACGAAGGCCAGGCACAGTGGCTTATGCCTGTAATCCCAGCACTTTGTGAGGCCAGGGTGGGAGGATCACTTGAGCCCAGGAGTTGAAGACCAGCGTCAGCAACATAGCAAAACCCCATTTCTACAAAAAAAAAAAAAATGGAAAAAATTACCCAGGCATGGTGGTGCCTGCACGCCTATGTTCGCAGCTAGTAGAGCGACTGAGGTGGGAACATCACTTGAGCCCAGGAGGTTGAGGCTGCAGTGAGTCATGTTCACACCACTGCACTTGTGCCTGGGTGACAGAATGAGACATTGTCTCAAAGAAAACAAAGAGAAAGACAGAGAGATAAATATGGGCTGGACATGGTGGCTCATGCCTGTAATCCTAGCATTTTGGAAGGCTGAGGTGGGAAGATCACTGGAGCCCAGGAGTTCGAGATCAGCCTGGGCAACACAGTGAGACCCTGTCTCTACACATAATTTTAAAATTAGTCAGGTGTGGTGTTGCACATCTGTTGTCCCAGTTACTTGAGAGGCTCATGTGGGAAGATTGCTTGAGCCCAAAGAGTACAAGTCTGCAGTGAACTATGATTGTGCTACTGTACTTCAGCATGAGTGATAGAGCAAGATCCCGTCTTGATGATTGATTGATTGCTAGATGGACAGACAAATAAGATAGACAGAGTTAGCAGGTACTGCCTTTCTAAAGAAAGAATATTTATCCTGAAACATAAAGGATAAGAAGGATTCAGCCTACAAAATGTCTAAGTCTAAGTACTCTTGAACAGTTAAATAGTCTGTGGAAAGCATTAAGCGTTGGGGGAATTTGTATAGTTGGCCCTTTGTATCCATGGGTTCTTCATTCATGGATTCAGCCATCTTCAGATCAAACATATATTTGTAAACTTTATGTGTGCTGACCGCATACGGACTTTTTTGTCATTATATTCTAAGCAATACAGTAGAACAGGTATTCACATAGCATGTACATTGTATTAGGTATTGTAAGTAATCCAGAGATGATTTAAAGTATATGGTAAAGATGTATATAGGTTATGTGCAAATACTATGCCATTTTATATCAGGGACTTTGGCATCTATATCTGGGTTGGCTTTTGGTATCTTCAGGGGGTCCTGGAACTGAACCTTCACAGATACTGAGGGACAACTGTACTATATCCTAGGTGTTGAAAAGATGGACTGTGATAGAGAATAGGAAGCAAAGAATTATTGTTTTGACATGAGGCCTCCTAGGTAAGCAGGAGTCCTTGGAAAGGGGTTTGTATTTTATTGTAAAAACAATGAAAACTCACTTGAGGAACTTAAAGGATGTATTCTTAAACACTGACCTTCATTGAAATCAGTGATAGGTTCAGAATAAAAATGTCAAGGTTTTTCTTCTCTCAGTTGTAATTCACTTGGTCTTCAACAATGCCAAGATAGCAGATTCTGGCCCCCACCTAAATGTCACCTATGTCCTCAGTCAGTAATTTCACTATCTTACATAAACTCTCATATACCTCTGAACTCTTCTTGGACTTTTTCAAATTTTATAACCATATTTTTGAATTATGTATGCCATTCACTTATTGTGAGTGTTGGCTTTTATTTGTTTCATAAAGTTTCTTGTTCTCTGGTGTAGAAATACAAAGGTTTTTTTTTGTCGTCCTCTTTTGTTGCAGATTTGGACTTACAGTGTGAGATAATCAGCTACATAGAAGTACCCACTTATGATACAGATATATCCTCTACACAACATCAGAGCATATATCAGAGAGAGAAACTCTATGAATGTACGAAATGTCAGAAGAAATTTAGTAGTGGTTATCAACTTATTCTCCACCACAGGTTTCATATTATTGAGAGACCCTATGAATGCAAAGAGTGTGGGAAGAACTTTCGTAGTGACTATCAACTTACGCTACATCAAATATTTCATACTGGCGAGAAACCCTATGAATGTACAGAATGTGGGAAGAACTTTAAAAGTGGTTATCAACTGACTGTGCATCAGAGATTTCATACTGGTGAGAAAACCTATGAATGTAGGCAGTGTGGGAAGGCCTTTATATATGCCTCACACATTGCTCAGCATGAGAGAATTCACAATGGTGGGAAGCCTTATAAATGTCAGGAATGTGGGAAGGCCTTTAGTCAAGGTGGACACCTTAGAATTCATCAAAGAGTTCATACTGGCGAAAAACCGTATACATGTAAGGAATGTGGGAAGACTTTTAGTAGTCGTTCAAATCTTGTTGAACATGGGCAGATTCATACTGATGAGAAGCCATATGTATGTGAGAAATGCGGAAAGGCCTTTAGAAGAGGTCATCAGCTCACTGTACACCAGAGTGTTCATACTGGTAAAAAACCATATGAGTGTAAAGAATGTGGGAAGGGCTATACCACTGCCTCATACTTTCTTCTACATCAGAGAATTCATAAAGTTGGAAAACCCTATGAATGTAAGGAGTGTAAAAAAACCTTTACTTTGTATAGAAATCTTACTCGGCATCAGAATATTCATACTGGTGAGAAACTTTTTGAATGCAAGCAATGTGGGAAGACCTATACTACTGGTTCAAAACTCTTTCAACATCAGAAAACTCATACTGGTGAGAAACCCTATGAATGTAAGGAATGTGGAAAGGCCTTTAGCTTATATGGCTACCTTAAGCAACATCAGAAAATTCATACTGGCATGAAACGCTTTGAATGTAAGGAGTGTAAGAAAACCTTTACTTTGTATAGAAATCTTACTCGACATCAGAATATTCATACTGGTAAGAAACTTTTTGAATGTGAGGAATGTGGGAAAGCCTATAGTACTGGCTCAAACCTTATTCAACATCAGAAAACTCATACTGGTGAGAAACCCTATGAATGTACGGAATGTGGAAAAACTTTTAGCTTGCATGGATATCTTAATCAACATCAGAAAATTCATACTGGTGTGAAACCCTATGAATGTAAGGTATGTAGAAAAACCTTTACTTTCTATAGAAATCTTACTCTACATCAAAGTATTCATACCGATGAGAAACCTTTTGAATGTAAGGAATGTGGGAAGACCTTTAGACGTAGTTCACACCTTACTGCACATCAGAGCATTCATGCTGATAAAAAACCCTATGAATGTAAAAAATGTGGAAAGGCCTTTAAAATGTATGGCTACCTTACACAACATCAGAAAATTCATACTGGTGGAAAACCTCATGAATGTAAAGAATGTGGCAAGGCCTTTAGTCGTGCTTCAAACCTTGTTCAACATGACAGAATTCATACTGGTGAGAAACCCTATGTGTGCAAGCAGTGTGGAAAAACCTTCAGATATAGTTCAGCACTTAAAGCCCATCAGGGAATTCATAGGAGTATAAAAGTATAAGACCATAAAGAGTACAAGAGCACCAGTCATCATCAGACAGTTCCACAATGGTGAGAAATGTTGGAATGTTAATCTTGTAGTTATGTCTTTAGCAAATGAGAGAGTTAAAATGCAGTTCTTGCCACATTAGAAAGCATTCAATGTCCTGTTTTAGTGGAACATCTGACTATTCAATGGTAAATTAAGAAAAAAAGCCCAGGAATTCCAATTTCTTCATGCCTACAACATCCATGGTGTGTATTTTTTATAATCTTATTAAAAGGATGATGAAAAGCATTTCATACTAGATTTCAATGGCAATATTACAAATGACCCCAAGACTTAATGTCTTATCACAACAATAAACAGCACTTATAGGTTCTGAGGTTCAGAAATTCAGAAGATGCTTAACAGGGTGCTTTTTTGGGTTCTCCATGAGCTTGCAGTCTTCTGAAGGCTTGCTAGGGATGAAAGATCTGTTTTCCAGATGGCTTGCTCACACTGGCTGGCTGGCTTAGAGAGTGAGAGTGCCAGGAGAAAGCTGTTCTCATCCACAGTGTGTTCAGTTTAGATAAGGAAATCCTGGACTGACAGTAACTAAAGCTACAAATGAATGAGACTTTGGAGCTGCTTTTTTTTTTTTTTCCTTTTTTCCTTTCTTTTTTTTTTTTTTTTTGAGACAAGGTCTTGCTCTACCCAGGCTGGAGTGCAGAGGCATAACCATAGCGTACTGCAGCCTTGAATTTCTGGGCTCAAGCAGTTTGGGGGGCTCCTTGAACATATTTTGCATGTCATAGAAATATAAGCAGTCTGTACTCAGAGTGCCAATCATAGTGTTTCAAAAATATGCCCTCAAATTCTTTGAAACTCCACCCTTCAAACTTGAAGTCTGGCCAGGCATCGTGGCTCATGCCTACAATCCCAGCACTTTGGGAGAATGAGGCAGGCGGATGGCTTGAGGTAGTTCAAGACCAGCCTGACTAACATAGTGAAACCCCATCTCTACTAAAAATACAAAATCAAAAACTAGCCAGGCGTGATGGCACATGGCTGTAGTTCCAGTTACTAGGGAGGCTGAGGCAGGGGAAACCGTTGAACTTGGGAGGCAGAGGCTGCAGTGAGCCGAGATTGCACCACTGCACTTCAGCCTGGGCAACAGAGTGAGGCTTCGTCTCAAAAACAAACACAAAACATAAAAAAACCTGAACTCAAATTCCCCTCCCTTTGCATGTGAGCTGAACCTAGTCACTAGCTTCTAATGAACTGAGTCTGAAGGATCACTTTCCCCTGATACTCATGCTCACTTGTTCATTCACTCATGCAAATCAAGCCTCCTCTACCATGGGCTTCTGCAGAGGCTGCTGACAGAACCTTTTATAGAAATTTCATTGAATGGTGATTCTCTTAATTCTCACATTAGACATTTCTGGGGTGTAAACCAAGGGTTTCTTTGGAGAACATATAATCTGCTATGAAGTCCCCCCACTGCTCCCTCTCTGAAATAATCATTGTGTTAATGTTGAGGCCATGCTTCCTATGGGCTGCCCCCAGTCACGTTTCTGACCATAACAGAAGTATTCATGCTAGTCGATTCTTATGAAACTCAGACCCTTCAGCTGGGGAACTGTGAATCAGTTTCCCATCAGCCAGGCTTAAACTGTCTTCATACCACCCTGCGTTTTCAGTTTTTCTACCAATCTTGCTTCACCCCTCTCCTTCGGAGTCATCAGTCTCGTACCATGGCCTGAAGGATTTCACTACTTTCCCTGGACCTATTTTTCATTCTTAGCCTCTTCCTCCTTCTTTCTGATCTGATCTTGTTTTTTGCTTTTCAGAAGATCAATATGAACACATACCCTCAGCTTACCTATACACTATGTTTCCCTAACAGTGCTCTGGGTTTTATCTTTGTCCAGAGACCGTTTCTGAAGTTTAGCATCACTTGCTTTCTGGAGAGGCTGGGACTTTCCAAAACCAAGTCTTGGTTCACTTCTGTTTAACAGTCTTTTTCTAGCTTATCTCACTTCTTGCACTTTAAGCAACAAGAAGGCAGGAGGCATCTTCAATATTCTGCTTGGAAGTCTCCTAAGCTAAATTACTCATTTTTGTTGCTGTTTGTTTGTTTTTGTTTCTTAGAGACACAATCTTGCTTTGTCACCCAGGTTGGAGTGCAGTGGTGTGATCATAGCTCACTACAACCTTGAACTCCTCAGGTGATCTACCTGCCTCAGCCTCATGAGTATCTAGGACTACAGGTGTGTGCACAACTACACCTAGCTAATTCTTTTTTTTTTTTTTTTTTGAGATGGAGTTTTGCTCTTGATACCCAGGCTGGAGTGCAATGGCGTGATCTCGGCTCACCACAACCTCCGCCTCCTGGGTTCAGGCAATTCTGCCTCAGCCTCCTGGGTAGCTGGGATTACAGGCCTGTGCCACCATGCCCAGCTAATTTTTTGTATTTTTAGTAGAAACGGGGTTTCACCATGTTGACCAGGATGCTCTCGATTGCTTGACCCTGTGATCCACCCGCCTCGGCCTCCCAAAGTGCTGGGATGACAGGCTTGAGCCACCGTGCCCGGCTGAAATACGTTTCTTATCTGATGCCACATTCCAAAGAACCTGAAGAATTAGTGGCTTAAAATGCCAATAAAAGTGTATTTTTCTCACACTTTCTGTGAGTCAGAAATTTGGGAGCAGCTAAGCTAGACAATTCTGGCTCCAAGTGTCTCAAGAGGTTGCACTTATTTAAAGGCTTGACTACACTTGGAGTGTATGCTTTCGAGTATGGCTTACTGTGTGGCTGATAAGTTTATACTGGCAAGTAGTTTTTTCTCCCATGGAGCCTTGTCCATAAGCTGCTTTAGTGTGCTTGTGATGTGACATTTGGCTTTTCTCAGATGTGATCCTTTTAATAATCTCCTTTTGGAACTTAGTTCTGCCACATTCTATTTATTAGCAGCAAATCACTACGTCTGGCCTACATTCAATAAAAGAGGAATTAAATTTCACCTTTTTTTGTTTGTTTGTTTGTTTGTTTTTGAGGTAGGACATCTTACTGTCACCCAGGCTGGAGTGCATATGGCACTGCAGCATCAATCTCCTGGGCTTCAGTGATCCTTCTGCTTCAGCTTCTCGAGTAGCTGGGACCACAGGTGTGCATCACCATACCCAGCTAATTTTTAAATTTTGTAGAGATGGGGTCTCACCAAGCTGCTTAGGCATGTCTCAAACTCCTAGGCTCAAGCAGTCCTCCCACAGAGCTCCCAAAGTGCTGAGATTATGGGCGTGAACCACTGTGCCCAGCCCAATTTTACCTTTTAAAGAGAGAAATATCAGACAAGATCAGGCATATTCAGGTGGTATGTCCAGAGACTAAAGAAAGAAATACCAAAACATTTGCAGACGTATTTTTAATTTTAAATCACCACACCTGACACCACTCAATCATTTTTAAAGTCTCAAAAATTAGTACTAATTAACTTGTTAATATCACATATGCAATAGTGTTTTTAGCCATAGCACATGCCTTACCTGTCATCACTGCCACATAACTCCCTGTGTGTCATTGGCCAAGATATCTGTCATCCATGGGAACTATTTGCAAAGTGTAGTCAAGAGCCTACATGAAAGCCAGGCATGGTGGTGCACACCTGTAGTCCCAGCTCCTTGGGAGGCTGAGGGGGGAGGATTGCTTGAGGCAAGGATATGAGGCTGCAGTGCTCTATGATGGTGCCTGTGAGTAGCCACTGCACACCAGCCTGGCTTTTTTAGGCCCTGTCTAAAAAGAAAAAAAATTACATGATAGTCCTATTATGGGGAAGTTGCCCAAATTGTATTTGTCAAAACCTGGGAAGACTATTTGGCGTATGGCCTTATGCTCAATAAATAGTACCTATTGGCTGGGCGCAATGGCTCACACCTGTAATCCCAGCACTTTGGGAGGCCAAGCCAGGCAGATCATGAGATCAGGAGATCCAGGCATGGTGGCACACGCCTGTAGTCCCAGCTACTCAGGAGGCTGAGGCAAAAGAATCTCTTGAACCCAGGAGGCAGAGGTTGCAGTGAGCTGATATAGCACCACTGCACTCCAGTGTGGGTGACAAAGCAACACCCCATCTCAAAAAAAATTAATAAATATGAGCTATTACAGATGTTGTCATTATTTGTGTTGCTGATAATTAATTTTTATGAAAGATTGAAATGTTGTAATTAATTTAGAACAGCTTCTTTTTTTTTTTTTTTGAGACGGAGTTTCGCTCTTGTTACCCAGGCTGGAGTGCAATGGCGCGATCTCAGCTCACCACAATCTCCGCCTCCTGGGTTCAGGCAATTCTCCTGCCTCAGCCTCCCGAGTAGCTGTGATTACAGGCATGCGCCACCATGCCCGGCTGATTTTTTGTATTTTTAGTAGACACGGGTTTTCACCATATTGACCAGGATGGTCTCGATCTCTTGACCTCGCGATCCACCTGCCTTGGCCTCCCAAAGTGCTGGGATTATAGGCGTGAGCTACCGTGCCCGGCCTAGAACAGCTTCTTAAAGCCACTCATCTGTTACTAAATTTTATATAATTGTGGAAATTAAGAATGTTATTTTTGTGTGTATAAAGATTTTGCCCAGGCACAGTGGCTCACACCTGTAATCCCAGCACTTTGGGAGGCCAAGGTGGGTGGATCGCCTAAAGTCAGAAGTTCAAAACCAACCTGGGCAAGATGGTGAAACCCTGTCTTTACTAAAAATACAAAAATTAGCCAGTCATGGTGGCACACATCTGTAATCCCAGCTACTTGGGGCTGAGACATGAGAGTCACTTGAACCTAGGAGGCAGAGGTTGCAGTGAGCCAAGATCGCACTACTACACTCCAGCTTAGGTGACGGAGCAATATTTTATCTCAAACAAAAAGAGATTTTTGCATGTCTTGTTTTGTTTTGCTTTTGCTTTTTTCATTTTTTGTAGAGATGGGGTCTCAGTATGTTGCCTAGGCTGGTCTCGAACCCCTGGGCTCAAGCAGTCCTTCTTCCTCAGCTTCCCAAATTATTGGGGTTACAGGAATGAGCCACTGTGCCTGGCCAAGATTTTGATAATAGCCAACAATTAATAATCTCTGTTGACAATTTAAGATAAAGTAGGAATTAATAATGGGCTATCAAGAAGTAAATTGTTCTCTTGGAGGTTTTTCCTAAATTCGAAATGTATATTTTAACGTATAGACA